ATCAGTTTCACAGTAACTGACCTTTTCCCTCTGTGCCTCATTTCTCTTCATCTGTCATGATTCATTTTGTAGCATTGATTTCCTTTTACTCTAACAGTTTCTGTGTGACAGACTTCAAAATCCCAATCAACTCTTACAGTTGCTCATACAGTGTTGAGAAACTACTAGCTGTATTTAAAGAAAAAATGGGAAATTTATTTCTAATTGGGCCCTCTTGAGAGTGTTATAAAATTTAAAATGTCACTTGCTACTAGTACCCATTTATTTTGAAATACTATACTTAATTTTTAAAATTATGCAATCAATATTTTTTGCCAATATAGAAGTTGCTACTGTCCCTTTTTTATTATTATATTAACTGTGTCTATAAAATCATGGTCTGATTGTTACAGGATACAAGTAATTGAAAAGCATGCTTGCATGTGCACCCATGCTTCCACATTACAGCTTCATCTCTCTTGTGCTATGCACAGCAACCTGGCTAGGAAAATTACAGTATCCCTGTTACTTCTGTTCTAAAGCTACACTTCAGATCCTTTATCTGTAATTTTTAGTGCAAGTATAGTCACGTAAATCATTCCTATCGAAGTTTTTATGGCTATTTAGATGGGTCATTTATATACTTAAAATGAAGTAGAATTTGTTCTCTAAGATAATGGCACTTGGATGGTGAATGGTTGTTCACCTGCTATGTGTGATGTGCACCTGTGGCTTATTTTCTCAATAATCAGCTTCGCCCATCAGTAAGACTTTTCTAAATAAAATACAGCCCACCTCTGCTAAGTCTGAATGGCATACTTTTTTTGTCTTGTTACCTATAAAATTCTGTAAAATGTTTTGCAGTAAAAATGAATACCTACTGTTCTTAGTTCTTACTTCTGTTCTGCCATAATGAAAAAAGAAGTAATTTTTTAAATTATTGTAAAGTAAGTCCTAAGACAGTAGGACTTGTTGTTTTTCATAAAATCTGCATGTTAATAGATCAAATGTCTTCCACTATCCCAGTGTGACTGACATTTTCAATAGAACACATGCAGAGGAAAATAAGACACAATTACTAGGAAATTAACAGCTGAAAATGGGATATTGATTTGAACTGCAGTCGGACATGGTTTGGTTTTCTTTCATCTAATTTCGAGTCTTTTTTGTGGTAGACTCCTGATTCTTTTCTTATATACATATGTTTTCAAATCCTGTTGCCTTAAGGTCTTAAGGTAGTCACTTAAGGCATTGGTTTTTGCCTTAAGATCTGCCAAGATCTGGTTGTTAGCCAGTTTAAGACCAGCACGTCAGCATATCTTGGTCATTCAAAACTACGCAAGCTCCAGATAGTCATTTAAGATTGGCATGTTAAATGGATAAGCATAAGGATATTGCACATGAATTGTTTTAATTTTTAAAAGACTAGTTTAGAGGAGTTGCCTAAGTGCCCATGTAGGTGTTTCATTTTGACACTTAGAGCATTCAAAATTTATTTAAAGGTATATACTCTTTTACAGTCAAGCATTGCTTTTAAACCTATTTAACTGATCAGGTGTCAGGTCTGGACATGCTAAAGCAGTATTTGATTGCACAGGATAGGCAGGTGCCCTGCCTTTTTTCTGCTTTGTCAGAATATGCCAGAGAGGTGTTCCCTGCTGTGCTACACAGTGGCTACAGAGCTCCCTGAAAAGAGCTCAGGTGTAACCAAACTGTTTTTTCTACAATTATTCTGGTAAGTTCATGTAATGAAAGAGTATTTAGTAGGACAACTTTGGCCATAATTGCTGCTCAGTTTTTCCTTCTCCTTAAGGAGAGTTTGAAATCCAGTGGAGTCAACATGGAATTGCCCTGGAACACTTAGAATACTTAGAGTAAATCTCATCATTACTCAGATTCCTGTTATAATCCTAACAGCTACAGCATTGTAGTCTTTTGCTTTGCAAGATGAAACTATGACAAGTAACAAAACTGATCTTGGAAATGGAAAGCATGAATGAAGTTTTTTTTTTTTAATAAAGAAGTACAGAACAAGGGAACTTCTGGGATTTGAGAGATATAATCCTGGGTTTGGCAGAAAACCACATAGGTTCAAAGGTGTTTTGGAGCATGTATTCATGTATTGTTACTAAGTTTTCTCTGTATAAATTATGACGACATAAAAATTGCTTTACAAATCTCTGCATCAGTACTGTAGCTTACTTAGGCTCTCCAAACTCATCTCAGGGCTTTCTTGGTGCTACACTGTAAGTTTAGTGATAAAACTGGTCTTGTAAACTATTAATTGTAATATCATAAAACTTCAGTAATAGCAAGAATTAAATTATTATTTTAGCCAAATATCACTAGACCTGCTTTTTACTGCCTTTTGTGGATTAGTATTCCTGCGAAACCATTGTTTCTTGGCTGTCACATTTCACCGTGTACAAAGAGAATGTTCATCTCTAAGATTCATAATTCTAAAACTTCCCTCCAATACATTTTTCTTAAGAAATTAATTTAAATACAGTATTCTGTTTCATCTGGTTTAAATTTTACATCTACATAGAAGAAGTTTGCTCAAAGAAAAGGAATTACAGGCATTTTTCTATGCATTTCATTCCACCACTTGTTTTTTGATGGAGAAAGTTGAGGGTTGTTTCACTCAAGTGAAAGAAAAAAGATCTAGTTAGAAAAGAATATGAAAAATGTTTGATATGTTATCTGGCTGCTGTCTATAATATAGAAAACAAGTTGTTTTCAATTATCGTAGGTTATTTATATGAACTACTTGTAGATACACATGAAAGTACCCTTGGGCTTCTGGAATTTGATATTACAGTCTCCTGCAGCATGGTGTTTGTTTGACTTTATTGTTTGTGACTTATCTTTTTCTTTCAGCACTTGGGTTTTAAAGAGCTGTCAAAATATAACAAGTGTGAGAGGGTTTTTTGGGTTTTTTTTTGTGTGGGTGTGTATTTGTTTTTAAAGAAATCATGTTAGGATCCTTTAATTTACTTTTGTAAGTTTGAACTTACAGCCTTCTTTTAATGCCATACTTACTTCTCTCTAAACACTGTACATGTTAAACTGTCTGTTTTTCTTCTTCTCCATTGTTCCCTTTTAGCAAGACCTATATTTCATCAGCATATCCTTGTCCCACTTCCTTACCATGTGCTTCTTCAAATTGAAGCTCATTTAGGGTAATACCGTGCATCTTGGAAGCACAGACCCTTATCTGTGCTGACAGGCAAACAAAGGATCCCTTAATACTTTTCACATATGTGGAAACTACACCTATAATCACACCGGAGATGAAAATAAAGTCATTAAATGGATATTACATGTCATTATTTTATCTCACCGTGTCAGCCCTCAGCAATTTACCAGGCTTAGAATATTTGGGACCAAAATGGGTGTAATTAATGGGCAGTGCTCTTGTTTATTTTAGAATTTCCAACTGTCTTGTAGGTAACAAAATAAAATCTAATTATTTTGATATTTTATTAAGTGGTTTGTCAGCCATTATATAATTACTTTTTCTGAAAAAAAAAGAAAACCAAAACAAAGCAATCTGAAAATTATGGCTATCAGAAAGGTAAAGCCTGTTGATATTTTTTGTGAGGACAACAATTGCAATGAAAGTCTTGAGGAAAGAGAAACAGATGAAATAGTACTGTGAGACTATAGTGAATGTTGTTTTTCCTGCTGTGTACAATTATATGTAATTAGATCTGTCCTTTTTTCATTATGCTGTCTCAAAATTATTTCTACCTATGTAGGTACTGAATGAACTTGTAAATAAGATAGCAAGATCAACATAGTCTGAAGAAATAATTAGTAACAATTTAACAGAAATTGTTCTGTTCAGGCTAAATCAATAGTAATGGAGATGAATAAATGGGTGGACACCTTAAGTAATTACAAATCCTTTAAATTATTCTTGAATTAGAAAGCAGGAGAACAGGACATATTTAATTACTTTTAGAGATTCATTAGAAGAGAACTTTCTGAATTCAGTCTTTGTTCCTTCTTCCCTAGAATACACTCATTTAGGCAGCTGGTATTCTGTTTCCTGTACCTTGCTGAACCTCTCATACAACCTGGTTAGCTAGCCTAGACATACAAACCCAGGTATTCCATTTTTGCCCCACGAGTTATAAACATTGCTGTGAAGATTTATTGTTCTGTTAACTAACTTATCCATTTTGGTTTCAGACTGCTTATTTTTGGCACAATTATTATTTTTTCATCACTCTAAAAAGGAAATTTTTGTGTTCTGTATAGTTGAGAGGAACTTTTGAAATACTGAATTTACCTTACTTAATGAAAAAGTACCAATAGGTTTAGATGGGGGATGTAACTAAAAAAATTAATTCCAGTTGTCTGCTGTTTTATTCTTCTGTACCATAGAAAGTTCTTCTTGGATATGCGAATATATTGACTAGATTGTACTTTTTTACTGTTTTTAATTTTAGTTACAAAAGTATTTCCTTATGGACTTTTGATATGTATTCATTATCTATAAAAGATCTATTATCTTCACAGTGCTTTTCTATATTTGTAACTGTGGTGTTGCAGAAGATTTATTAGCTTTATGATGCATCATGAGGAAGAGGAAATCCTCAAAGGGCAAAGAGGTGTCAATATTGACTCTAAAATTATTACAACTAAATTAGAATTAGGCAGAATGAATTGGGAAAGCAGGTACTGTATGAATCAGCATGGAAATGCGAAGGTTGGAGAATCTTAATCTAGAGAGTCCTGCTGAGACTTGGGTCCCACTCAAAACCTAGCACTGCAGTTTTGATTGTCTGGACCTTGAGAAGCACAATTAGAAAAATTTTGCATAAAAGCATTTGCTAATTGACCTAAAGGGTTTTTTGGTAGAAATTATTACTGAAGAAGGCCATTCTCAATCAAAAGCCATGAAAGATTGCCTTCTTAGTTAGTGTTTTGGATTTACAGACCACTGAGAGATTGAGTCAATCTTTGAAATAAATGGATTACTTAATTTTGTTTAACCTGTCTCCCTTCTTTAGCTGGAAAGGCAACTGGCACTGCAGAACCTGATGGGAGAGAGACAAACAGCCATGCAGATTGCTTGGACACAAGAATTTCTCAAATATTTTGGGACATTTTTGGACACTTACTGCTGTAGTTTTAACAACTGGGTATGAAGTTTATTCCCTAACAGAAAATATAAGTATATTACATTATATATTTCTATTTTGCGAGTTCTTGTTTTTTGCAGGCAGTTATTTTTATCCAGTGCTTGCTCAGAGATTGATCAAATAACAAATGGACTCTGAATTCTGTCTGCTTTGAATGTGTTCTGGTTATGTCTGCAGGTTTATTTAAAAGCAGAGACATGAGCTGACAATAAAATGACAATAAAATATCTGAAGTACAAAAGGTCCAGTGCAAAATAAAAGTTGTGTGTGGAAGAGGAGAAAGTATTTAAAAGCCATGCTATTTTCTTGTCTGTACTGAGATTTAATGAACTGTTAGTGAGTAGCACTAACTAATTCTCCATCTGGATTTTTTCAATGCAGTGAACAAGTGGACATATTCTGAAGTCTACTCACTTACATTTGAATCAACTGACCCAAGGGAAAAAGAAACCTGGCTAATAAAGCTATATTGCATAGGGAAGAACTTGCCCTACAGTACTTTTAGTTGATAATGTTTTCTTGGGCTGTAACATGCTTAGAGGGAATTAGGAAATATTTGTGGGTTTGTGTATGTAGTGAAGGTTAAATGCACCTTATTCGTTATGGGTTCTCTGTAGCATTTGGAAATGAACACAGAATCTACATTGCTACATGTTGCAAGTGGCTGGGTATATGGCACTGCACATGCATGCTAAATGAGTTAGATCATCCCATATTTGTTAATATTTTCAAAAACCACTATTGCATTTTTAAAATGCTCTTGGGTTGAGAAAGAAGGCAACCAGAAGACAAATGTTCCTGAGGAAATAAAGATTTGCTCTTTGATTAGACATTTTTAGAAGGATACACAAGTCCCAGACAGTCATCAGCCTAAAGTAACAGTGCTGATGTGCTCAATATCCTAAATATTTTTTTCTTTTTTCTTGCACAGAGCAATAAAAAGGAAGAGCCCAACAATTTTACTGCCAATACTTCCCTTAAGCTTTGTATTTTCCTATCATTATGGTATGGGCTATGGGACACTCTTGCTAAGAATTAAAGGTATGTAAGTCTGTCCTGTTCTCACAGAGAACCAAGTTTCAGATAACCTGTTATGTTTTTTTAAATGGCTGGGAGAACTCTTGTAATAGATATTTGACCTTTTTTTTGACAGAAATATTATGTCTCATTTTTTTCCTTCTGTTGAAATCAGACATTTTGCTAGTCAAGGGTACCCACTATACTTTTATAACATTTCTTTTCAGTTAAGACTGTCATTTTCTGTTCTTGTTTCAAAATATTTGAATGCTAAGGTGATAAACACAGCTGATGTAAGAACTGGATATTTGGGAGAAATGACAGATGTAGTGATTTAGTTCTGTATTCCACTCTGCTGCTGTTTTTATGGGGAAAGGGTTAAGGATTACAATATAAAGGAATAGAGACATGAATCAGGGCCTTGCACCTTCATGACCAAACAGTCATCAGGTGATGATCTTCCTGCAGTGTCCTGATAAGACTGAACAAAGGTGAGTCCTGGAAAGTGGGGTCTAGCCTCATAGTTGTCTCTTGTCTATGCGATTAACTTATATACATTGTGTTGAAGTATACGGAGATGCATTTATGTTAACTCTGATTCCTAGTGAAGAAGACTGGCTCAGTGAGTGTTGACTATAAGTGAAAACAGTATCAGGCCATGGCTTGTCACCTTCACAAATTGACTTAGTTAACTAAGTCTAACTAATTGTCTTGTCTGCTACTGGCACAACCATATTGAAACAAAATAAAAATCTGTTTCAGCACTTAGTCTTTAGCCTCCTGATCTAACACTTAGGTTTCCTAACACTGTGTGCTTCATGGAAAATAGTGGTAGGTTAATTAGACAAAATCTGCTGTAGTTCCTGCTCCATGCAGGTGCAAATATATTTAGGTGATGCAGGATTGTATACCTGTGAACACTTCCCCAACAGCATTAAACAAGCTTCTCAGGATTTTAATATGAAGAGTCAGCTAAGCATAGGGAAGAAAGGGTAGTTCTCAGAAATCAAAGTGTTGAAAAGGAGATTAATACACACAGAGCAGAATTAGCACTTTGAATTTATGATTTATATGTAATGTGTTTACTGTGTACCATGTGGTCCTGTGTAGGTTGAAGAGGAGCAATGTGGTATCCTATTGCTTTCAAATATGAAAAGTCATCTTCAGCACTTCAGACCCATTAGGAGAACTTCAGCAGTATGCAAGGCTTGTGAAAATGTTTTGCAGAAAAGAAACTGTAGAACCAAACAGAAAATAAAATTGAATATGCCAAACTAACTCTGTCTTTTCCAGATTTTTTTTTCTAAAAGAAATGTGGTAGATCCATTATAAACTCATGAAAGCATTTGATGGGGTATTGCCTAAAGATTAAGTTAGCATGAAACACATGGAAATTAGTAGACAGGTAAACATAGGAGTAAAGAAATTACATCAAATTTTGTGCTTGAAAAGGAGGATTAGGCTTCACCAGGGTTATTAACAATATTTCTCAAGATTTGGTCTGGATCTTCATTTGCTTTATAGTTTAAATTATGAGTAGGTTATCCTAATCAAATCTTTGTGTGACAAACTTGATTAAGTTCATCAACAAGAAGAAATAAATTGTAGTGCAAGAAGAACTGATGGTCTGAAGAAATGAGAAAACAAAATAGGATTCAATTTGATAATGTTAGCAAGAAACTAGGGATTAATAGGGATTTCTACCACCAGAGTTCATCAGATGGAAATGGTAGAAAAAGGGAAAACATGAATGCTGATGATCACAGAATGAGTATAATCCAATAGTGTGATGAAATTGAGTTAAACAAAGTCTAGAAACATCAAATGTGGTTTCCTAGTTTCATGGTATGGTTGAGATTGGAAGGAATCTCTGAAGGTTATCTGGTCCAAGCCCCCTGCTCAGACAGGATCATCCATAGCCAGTTGCCCAGGAAAATGTCCAAAAGGCTTTTGAATATATCCAGGGATGCATATTTCACAACCTTAGTACAAATAGAGTATAGATGGGAAGGTGCAGGAAAATAATAACTCTTGTGGAAATTTACATGTAATTCAGATCACTTCTGGAAAGGGAATCTGCAATTATACTGAAGAGCTAAAACTACTAGGTAATGACAAGCTGCCTTAGAAGAGAAAAAAAAAAGTGATTAATTTGTTTAGCTTTGTAAAAAGACATGAGCGATTTGGGTCTACAGATCCTACTTACAAGATAGGATAAAGGAAAGTAAGAGAAGGAAATTAAACTAATTACCAATATCAGCACTAGATTAAAAGGAAGTGGAATAGCCTGGATGAATCTGGTCTGGAAATCAGGTTCAGGAGTTCAATTTCATTTTATGATTAAAATTACGTAGTTGAAGAGAAGGTTTTATGACACAATAGACCTGCAGCCACAATGCTTATTCACAATACTCAACAGATCCCCATGTTCACTCCCATACCTTTGCAACCATTTCTCTGCTTGTGTGTCTATTCTGTTGGAGCATGCCACGCTTAATCTCTCTGGTGTAATAATGAATGTATGCACCATTCCCTTTACTGTTTTTTCTTTAACTGGTCTCTTTCTTCCAGAGTATACCTATCTTCAACCTCATAGCCAATTCCCTCTCCTAAGATAATATGCAATTATTTCTGTGCTGCATGGTGAACCTTGTATCTGAACTAACTTGATCACATAACTTCTGCATCTGCTGCCTTTCCTCCTTTGGCATCATTTTATACCCCTGAAAGTTTTCATTGTTTCTCTTTCATTAGGCATTTTGTTTCTGATCTTGCTTACAGTTTATTTTTTCTTCTGTCTCTAGCCTATTTGACCAAAAATTATCTCATTATTTTAGTATTCTTCCACACTGAAATATTGGAAGGGTATTTTTTCCTGCTTTAAAACTTGGGTTAATTAAAACCCCAAACTGAAGACACAGGAGGAAATACCTGGTTTGAGTTCTGTTTGTGCTGTTGGAAAGCCCTAAGTTTCCAGGTCTGTGTATCAGGACCTAATCTTTTGGGTATGTCAGGGTTACAGAACAGCTGTCAAACTATCTTTTCTAAACCTCTGAGGACACAAAGAACCAACCTGCTGTCTGTGTTCTTGGCCTCACTGTTTTGCTTTTCTTCCTAGTCCAGGCACACACTGCTGGTGTTTTCCACACAAATTATTAGATGAGGGGATGGATTTTATGGCCAGCCTATAATTGCACAGAACTTCTCCACTAAGCAATGCAGCTCTGGCTACCATTTCTGAGATTTTCATAGCTGAGTCCTTGTGTCCTGAGCAGTCAGTGGGTCAATGTTCTCTACTCCAGGTGAGGGACAGGCACAGAGAGTTGTCCATCTACATCTCTGTCCCCAAGATCTCTTGCTGTTTCATTATCAGATGCTATATGCAACTGACTGAAGTTGTGGGAGTGGTAACCAGTGTTGGTTATTAGTGGTGGTCCCAGGCACTGTAGTTCTATAAAAATTACAGCTGGAAGATGTCAGTGCTCAGACCTGTTTTATGGAGTGACTGTAATCCTGACTGCATTGCAATAGTCAGTGAGGCTGGTCACACATAAACAGTTTCAAACCATTGCTTTATGAACCATAAGGATCATAAAGCTGGGACTTTAGGCATAGATAAACAAGATTGTTGGCATTGTGCCAAATGGCATCAGCCAAAACAAATGCATTCTTTGCCTAATCTTCATCACTTCTTATATCACAATCAGACCACCACAACCTATGTATGATGTTCAGTCTGTATCTTTGTTTTTTGGATTCTCTCTCCTAGATGTTTTCATTCCAGCCTTACCCAGAACATTCCGCACTCTACAACTTTTCCCTGCTATGCTTCATGTTTAGGTATCTATCTTAGCAAAGTCTTTTGTGAGCAATGGGCTTTGAACAATGCTTCTTCAAGTCCTGTGCTGCCCACATTCTGACACCTTTTAGGCTAGTCCTGAGGCACGAAGAAAGATTGTGCCCAAATATGGTACATCTGTGACACTGTGTACAAGTTTACTTGTTAAAGCTTATGTACACCTTCATGTGAATGTCTCATCCACTTTCTTCTCAGATTCCTAATTATCCCACCAGTCCAAAATTCCTTAGAGACAACTTTGCTGCTGTATTGACATCAGCTTATTTATAAAATACATAGCTATGACTTGCTGTTTTGCTAATTTGGTCCAAACAAGAATGGCTAAATCAGTTTCTTTTTTTCCCTTCATTGCTTTCTAGCAGTAAGACTGAGGAAATTTACGGGTTTTTTTTCCCTTTTCTTTGTCTTTTTTTTTTTCCTTTTTTTCCCTTTTTTTAAGGTGAAGCAGAGAACATACTTGATGCACAGGGCACTTTGCTGGAATTGCCTAAAGGACCTCTCACTTTTAAAGATTTGTAGAAAATCACAATGTCTCAGAGCAATTTCTTCATAGAAAAATAGGAAGATGGTATTAAAGCTACATATCTGAAATGTGATTATAATACTGCATTTTAACATAATTAAATAATTTTAAAATTTATAAGATTATAAGATAAGATTATTATGAGCTGTTACAAAATCAAAATGTAATGGATTTTTAAAAATTAGTGCTTTCTAAAGCAATTGGTTTCATATTATATGTATCTCTTAAAAATAATAATTTTTCTGTAGTATATTTTTCTTGTTTATAATGAAATAATGAATTTGCATTGTCTGTTCAGAGTCTGAAAATAACTTTCACCTGTAGTAAAAAAGTCTGGTACTGACCAAACTCAGTATAACCAATAAAGATATGGTAATTGGTAGTTATAAGTTTGTATAAATCTATAAAATATTAATTGTATTAGTAATTAAATTGTATAAAATATATAAATAATTATATATCATTTTCTAATATATTTCAGGATACTGAGCTCAATTTGAAGTCAGGAGCAGGCAGTCAATTTCTTTGAAAAACAAGACACTTTTTATTTGCTGCTCTTTAGCAAAGAACTCACCATCTCTGCTTCAAGTTCTGGAATAAACAGCTTTTATCAGAAGTAGGTTCAGAAGTAAACACATAACTTGCTAACTGTTGGTTTACTCTTAGGGACAACTGTGTTAAAGGATGAGTAGAGATAGCTTCTGAAAAAGAGGAAAGAAATTATGTAGCTATTTCCTGAATCTTTTTCATGCTTGTTCGACATTCCGAAACTCAGGATAATTTGTTTTTTGATAATTGAAATCAGAGTTTCCCTACTAAGATGAATATTAACTTAGGCTAACAGCAAGCAAAATTATTAATGTATGTTTTTGTAATGAGTAGATCCAAGTGGCCTTACAAGTACTGAAAAACTGAGGGATTTTTTTGTATGCCTTTACTCTAACATGGTAAATTCCGAGAATATAATTTTAGTATACTTTAATGTTCTGTTGTCACACTTGGAAAAATTGTTTCTGCATTGGAAATATTGTTCAGAAACAGATTATTTTGTGTTTTGGATGGAAATTCTTCTAGCATTAATCCAATTGAGGAATGAAAAACAAATGCTCAAAAAACATCCAAAAATGAATTAAGCCAAAGTCTATACTGACAATTTGTTGATTTAAAAATTAAATTCCAGCTGGAGATAATGCCCCAAATATGATTTTGAAGACTACTTAACTAAACGGAGAATATTGCTACAACAAGACAGCCAAATATATAATGAAACAAAAGCTTCTCAATGCAGAAGAAATTAATAGCACAGTTTCCACAATTTGACTTCTGAAAGTGCATTAACTTCTGCATTCTGTAATTGGTTCTGTCCCCTGCATGTTAACAATGCATACAGTCTGTAAGTGATCTCAAATGTGGTGTGTTTTAATGGTCAGTGTAATAAAATGAACACAAGTACTACTCTTTCTTGTTTTGCTTTGAATTACAGAGCATTTGCTATGTTTTCTCCAAGTTCTGAAGTCCACCTTCTGTTAATTTTGAAGAATAATGGTATGTTTTGATATCTGTCATCTATTGATACTCTTTCTTATCTGTGTGCTTGTGACAGATTCCTGACTATGAAGTTTGATCAAAAGCTAGTGTTAAAGGGAGCAAAATCATGGTCCAGGTAGCAGTTTTAGGGGATAATAGGGTAGGTATATATTAATCCATACAAACTAAATTTGATTTTTTTTCTCCCAAAGTTTGAACTTGGATTAATAATGTTAGACTATTGCAAGACTCTACACAAAAGTGTGACAGAAATGGGGTAAGTTTCATCCAGTATTACACAGTATCAGTGAAATTTACCAAATTTATTAAGGAAAAGGCTCTAAGCAAGATGTATAACCCAGAAACAGATTTAGATGGGCTACACAGAATGTGCCAAAAATCATCAAGGAGTTCAGGGTTATTCACCTTTATTGTCCTTATGTTTTACTGTTTGCTTTGCTTTTTTTTTTTTTTTTTTTTTTTTTTTTTTTTGAAAAATGCATGGTTTTGTTTTGAAGATGCTTGTTCTTTGTTGCAGAGTTAGTTATTCTACTGCCAGTGTACTCATCAAAATGTTTGCATGTGCTGTGCGCAGTCATATCTGTGACATAGTGACAGATACAGAATAATGGAATGGTATAACTTCCTTCAGAGGACAGTGAAAGAAAACAGGGGCTTAGCAGTGACAAGGTTTACTTTGGGGAAATACATGTTTACAGCACAAGTTGCCCATATTCATCATATTTGTTACAGAAATAAATGAAGTGCCTAAAACATCCTGCTCCTTTCTGTCATTTGTGCTCAACTGGCCTCAGCTGTTAGACTCACTTTAATATATCACAACTGTCTTTGTTTCCATGAATCACTGGGGAAAAAAAGGAGAGCAATTCCAGGGGGAGCCTGTTCTGGCCTGAAGGCACTACTCTTACCACCTTAATTCTGTTGTTTTTTTCTGGTTATTATGTCTGATAGCCATATATCCTGAATCAGTATCATTTGGAGCAGGATTGTTCCGGAAAAGGGAGAAGTCAGTCATGATTAGGATGCCAAAATTAAGCTGTTTGTGTTCTAATTATAGGTATGAACCCAAGGAAGTGCATGCCACCTGCAAGCCACAAGTGCCTCCACTCTTGTTTATCTGCTTGTGATAATGCATACGAGCATTGAGGAGAAACAAGCAAAGTTGCTTTGGAGAGTCCAGTTTGGGCCCCTTCCTTACAATAAGGAAAGTTGAAAATCGTGGCCCCTTCCTACATGCTTTGGAGTTATTTTATTGCTGACTGCATGTCACTGCTTTTAAAAGAAGGGAAAGCACTTATGTGGATGTACACAAACAAGATTGTTTCTGCATTACTTATTTTCTTAATCAGCTTTGGACTTCATTATGCAAAAATGCATGGATTTCTTAACTTTTTAAGTTATGAGCTTTCCTAAGATTGAACTGTTTTCTAAACTGCACAATCCTCTAATGAAGGCAACTGGATAATGATCATGCTTGGTCATCAATTGATGCAGTGATATTTACCATTTGTTGCAGAATCCTGTATGGTACTAAACAAACTTTAGAAATGCTGTAAATTCATGTTTGGACAGCTTTCAAAAACTAAGTTGTCTTTGCAGAAGTTAATTGCATGAATTTGAAATTAAGTCTCTGGAAAATGTCTAATGAAATCAGTAAGTTTTTGTCTTACTGCTGATTTTCTTTGTCTGACATTTGTGAGTGATGGGAATAAGAGTTTAATTTAAGGTATTCAAGGCTACTGAGATATTGTTAAAGGATATATTTTTATTTAGCCCCCAGTTTTCATGAAATCTCCTTTACTTTCTATAAACTTTGCTATTGTTCAACAGAATAATAATTTAGTGCAAGGAGAGAAGTAGTACAATTATCTTTACCTTTTAATAAGAAATTAAAAGATAAAAAATACTTGCATTGAGCCAGTACACTGAATGTACTTGCCTTGAAACATCCTATAGATCATTAATGGAAATTAGTGTCTTTGCTCTGCTATTGTTTTTTCTTCTTTACAAAACAAACAGTAGGAAGTTATATAGTTACTTCAGATTTGCTAAATTTATATTATTAATCTTCTTCTGCATGTTTTGTTTTGAATAATAGCTTTTCTAGTCACTCAGGAGGTACTATCCTTCTTGCCTTGTCCTGGCAGTGCTTTTTCACATTACTACAGCTTTTCAGACACTGAAAACAAATCTGTTGTCTGGAAGACTACTTAAAGTCCATGCAGAAGTCCACCTTATGTGAGAATTTTCAGAAAAAGTCCATGAGACCAACAAAACCAAGGTACTGCTCTCAAAATTCAAGTTGTAATCACCCCTGCACAACTTCTGATTGTAACAGCATAGTAGGTAAGACTTCAGCTGAGGGAGGAACAGATCAAGGTTTTGTTCTTCAGGAATTTCAGATTAGCAGACTCCACTTCTGCAGATTGCATCCTAGCAACATTCTGGATGATGGTGCCTCCTGCTGTAGAGGTACCACTGTTTAAACACTTAAGACTGGACCAAAAAGAAAACTGTCTGGGTTTTGGCTGGGGAAGATTTTAATTTTTAATTTTGCTGGGTAGATTTAAATTTTTTTTTTGTATTGGTCTGCAGTTTGGATTTGTGCTGAACACATGGTTAATAACAGAGAGATGTTTTTGTTATTGCTGAACAGATAAGAGCCAAGGCCCTTTCTGCTTTGGGTACTACCACACCAGTGAGGGAACTGTGGGTGCTTGTGAGGAGATACAGCCAGGACAGATGACTCAAAATGACTAAAGGGATATCATGCTGATATATGAAGTGGGGGGAAATGGAAGAAGGAAAAAGGAGGGTACCTTTGGAGCCATGGCATTTGTCTTCCCAAGATGGCTGAGTACCTGTCTGCCCACAGGAAGCACTGAATCAATTCCTATTTTTCTTTGTTTTTTTTTTTTTTTTTTTTTTTTTTTGGTTTTTTTTTTTTTTTTTTTAAGTCTTAATAAATTTCTTTTTTTTTTTTTTTTTTTTTTTTTTTTTTTTTTTTGTTGGGTTTTTTGTTTGTTTGTTTTTTGTTTGTTTGGTTTGGTTTGGTTTTTGGGGTTTTTTGCTTTTGCTTTCCCTATTAAACTGCCATGACTTTTCTCACTTTTCTAAATCTTTCCCCAGTGCAGGAATGAGCAAGTGGCTGTGTGGAGCTTGGTGGCTGGCTAGGGTTAAACACAAGAACTTTGCTTCCACAGCCTTGTTCTAGATCCTGCTCAGTGTAAAACATCCAAGTCCTCCTTGAAGAAGAGACCGGAGTCTGTAACTTCTCTGCCAGCACAAGTGAACCATACACCTTTGTACACTAGTCTGCAGATGTATGTCTTCTCTGTGCTCTCCTTCTAGATTGAGTTTTGAGGGTTTTTTTATAAAATACTCAAGGGATTGAAAGCATAGCCTTCATGTGAAAGGATCTACAGACAACAGCTTCAAAGTATTTTAAGAGAGATTAACTTTTCTGGTTCTTCACAGTATGACTTCTTAC